ATGCAATGCATGAATGGTCCAGTCAACCATAATTATTATAGGAAAATATATATACGAAACATGGTGTCGAAATATATGCTACGAAGCAAATGATGTGATTTAACATGGGTCATAGTTCTTCTTGTTTATTTCTCTTTATCTTTCAGTGCACCGTGCCCCTCGTCCGCTACCATGGCAACGTGTCCTGACACGTTGCCTCCAGAGGACATTTTGTTGTGTATGATATGTAACGAGCCACGCCACCTGGTGACGTTTAAGCCGTGTGAACATCGGGTGGCTTGTGACGAGTGCTGCATCAGAATGAAGCGCTGTATGACATGTCAAAGTCCCATCGCTACTAAGCTAGACACAGGTAATATCTCCTATTCGGCCCTAGTGGAGGGAGACTTATTGATAACAACGCAATTGTAAACAACAACGACAACGACGCAATTGTAAATAACAACAACAACGACGCAATTGTAAACAACAATGACACTGTAAACAACAACAACACTGTAAACAACAATGACACTGTAAACAACAACGACACTGTAAACAACAATGACACTGTAAACAACGACGACACTGTAAACAACAATGACACTGTAAACAACGACGACACTGTAAACAACAACGACACTGTAAACAACGACGACACTGTAAACAACAACAACACTGTAAACAACAATGACACTGTAAACAACAACGTCACTGTAAACAACGACACTGTAAACAACAACAACACTGTAAACAACAACGTCACTGTAAACAACAACAACAACAACAACAACAATGACTGCAACAGCAACAATAATGTCATCATCATCAACAATAAATAATATCACCAACCAGGACAAGAACAACAATAACATAAACAACAGCAACAAGAACAACAATAAATAAACAACAACAAATACCGCAGCGGCAGCATCACAACGACCACAAATAAACAACAACAAATACCGCAGCGGCAGCATCACAACGACCACAAATAAAAACAACAAAAATGACGACAAAGTCACCAGCTCCTCGATCTGTCGCTCGGTGATGTTACGCTGACCCGCCCCCGCCGCCGCCGCGACCACCACCTGACCACCTACAGCAATAACAACAACAACGACATCGTAAATAACAACAACAATGCCGCATGCAGGAGATGGAGGAACACATCGTCTGCTCGATCTGCATGGAGCGCAAGCGAAACATCGCGTTCCTGTGCGGCCACGGCGCGTGTCAGCCGTGCGCGCTCACGCTCAAGACGTGCCACATGTGTCGCGAACGCATCACGAAGCGCATCAATCTCTACTGAACCCTGGCGGGGGCGGGGGCGGGGCGGGACGGGGGCGGGGGCGGGGGGGAGTGTTTGTGAGTGTGTGGGAAGGGGGGACTGTTTGCGTGTGTTGGGGTGGGACGGATTGTTTGTGTGTGTTGGGGTGGGAGGGATTGTTTGTGTGTGTTGGGGTGGGAGGGATTGTTTGTGTGTGTTGGGGGAGTGTGTGTGTGTGTGGTGGGGGTGGTAAGTTTACCGTGGGGTGAAAGACTGGTTTGTGTGTTGGTGGGAGTGGTGTGTTGTGGGGGGGCGTGTGTCGGTTAAGTACGCCAACAGACAATAGTAATTGATTGCGGTGATATGGGCTGCCTGCCCAGTGTAGCTGCATCTATTAATCTTACATGGACGGTGTTCATTACATTCTTCGCGTATCCTTGGCAGGGATTGTGGATCAAGGCCTTCTGGAACTGGGGGTCATGGGCCACGGGCCCGTTGAGCGTGGGCTGTAATCTCATCGCACACCCCACTTGCAGTGGCATCTGTGCTTCAACGACGAGAGGCGGCGTATAACGATTTTCCGCCGGAGCTCATATTTCCCTCGCCGGAAAACCTCGCCCACCTCTGTTCATCCTTCCTCCCTTGTTTACTTCGAAAATCTGCTTATTCTAAGTATTTGTATTGATGCAAATCAATCAGCTTCCGAATTGTAGTGTTCCGTATGACGAGTACACTCCATGCAGTGTGATGATATGCCGTTATAACGTTTGACGTTGATAACGTCAAGTCATCATCAGTGGAGTGTATATTATGACGAGCAATAGAAGTACTCTTTGTCTTAAAAGTGGAGTGGACGTAAGAGTGAGTGGCTGGAGGGGGTGTTTCATTATGTGTTTTTTTTGTTTTCTCGTCCGCTACTATCCAACAGTTGTCTTCGTGTCGCTCCGCCCCCTCCTCTCACCCCCTCCCAGCGCCCCTTACTCAAAAATGTGTAGCGTCACGTGGACAGCATCGAAACGAGATGTAGCAGTCATGCACTTATAATCATGAATGGAATGTTACAATGAGGACATACGAAAGGAGGTAGCAATGATGAAGTTTTTGATGAGTATTTCTGATATT